TTGAAAGGCGGTGGCACAAAGAAATGGCCAAGAAATAACCGTCATTTGGTATGGTTTTTAGTGGTTCTACTTTCGACATTATTCTGGAAACAAGTTGTCTTCCCCCAAGGTGATTAGTAACTTCCTACATTTCGAGATAAAACTGTCGCCAAAGTGAATAAATTAATCGAACGGAAAAACGGGTTTCCCACCACCATATTCGAAACAAAAACTCATTACTAAGGGCAAAGACATCTGTCAAAACTCCAGCTCAGTCAGCTGATCATTCGAACTGCAAACGTGTACTATGTGTCATTTTACCGGTGTATATGGCCAGAGAATGCCTTAATAGACATATTACTACTGCATTTTCATCCGCATTTAAGGGCAACTATTCTCCTCGTTCCACGGAATATCGCGGAATGGAAAAACATACCAACAGCAGTTGTTCCCTGAGCTTGTGGCGATGGTGCTGCCATGTGCTGCATTAGAGGGACAGCAGAAGGACGCTGCATGTGCACGTGCTGCGGGTTGTGAATGCTTGCCACGGCCACGCTAGCACCAGGTGATGAACTTCTGAAAATTAAACAATTCCTAAAAAATATCGACGCTCAACGGGCCGAATTTATTACACTACACAAAACAAAAAAAATGAAAAGTCACAATCCAGGAAGAGACAGACAACTGCACAACGCTTTCTCGCAGCATCTGAATTGCCTCCCATTGAAATTTTAACAAGACACTTCACGCCACACGCACATGTGAAACACCGTTTTCGAAATCAAAGCGATGTGGAGATGAATTCTAAAGCTTCGAAAAGTCGCTTAAACTTGAACCCTAAAGCGTGGAAGAGGAAGTAGCGCTCTGCAAAAAAATATGGAGTATTTATAACTCGCAGTGTTGAGTTAAGGCGTATATGACTTAATGGACCTATCTCACTTTGGCCTTTTCTTCTGATACTTCTCTTTTTTTCCCCCGTATTCTATCGTACTTTCGCCATTTACGCTTCCAAGGTCAACATGGATGCTACAATCAACTTATTACTGCTTCATAATATCCACTAACTAAGGGTTATTGGGCCAATTTCTTTACCGGCTTAAAAGAGACGTTCACCACCGTCAGTAGCAAGTCCAGTTGTCTGAAAATCAAGCTTTTAAAACGAGCCTCCGTGAAAATATTTAAATGCTGAGCAACTTTGAGTAATTTCTTAACCAGTCAAACAAATTCATCTCCAGCAACCACTGTGACACAACTGCAATACACTACAGCCCGATCTGGATACAACTCCCCACCTTCCTTGTTTCCCGAGTTAGCCATTTTCCCGCCAAAAACCTTCATGAGGCCGTATGTGAGAAGCACACACTCCTGGGAGCTGAATTTGAAATCTTTGAGTTGTATGCGAACAGGGGAGACAGCCTCAAAATTTCAGCTTTCTAGCTTTTATGGTGTGCTGTAGACAAGCAAGCAAATGAACATGCTCTCCGAACCCCAAACAGAAGACGTACCCAGAACATTAAACAAAATGGACTGTGTACAGAGATTCAAAGATGCAAAAACAACCTCAGTAGATTGACGAGCGTTGGACTATTCGTATTAGCGGCTGGCTGCTGCTTCGTCGAAGCCACTGCGGCCATTGGCGGTGGTGCAGCTGCTGCCATTTCCAAACGGCCATGCATTGCAGCCGGTGTTGAATACATATCGCCGTCAAATGAGGGCGCTGTTACTTTCCGCTTCCCCGCTGCACGACCAGTAGAAGTTGACGGTGCCAATTCATGTCGGCTAGTTTCTCTGTAACATGTCCATATTTCTCTATGGAACATGCGGCAAGCTTTATGGATTTTGATAGATGCCTTTTAGATGTTCCTATTTCGATTTCTCATCTCTACGCCATCATAGTATTAATCTATTTATGCATTTAAACTCAAATGTTACGCTCCTCATCAGCTACAGATAGTGGGTTCAATTCCGACATGAAAATCAGTCCTTCAGTGAAAATTGTTAGTTCGTTTCGAAGGAAAATTGGTACCTGTGCATGTTAAAATGTTAAAATGACCACCAACTTACTTCTAAGCAATTTTTAAAACAGGATGCCATCGAGCTAGATGCGGCAAAATGATCACTGTCTTTGCTCGCTGGGCTATTGTTCTAGCTGTTTTACAATACTCTTATTTCTTAAACTGGGAGGTGGCGAGAAGAGGAGAAAAAGATTAGATTTTCAAAAGTCAAAATGACTCCGTTAGCGTAAACTCTGCGTGAAAATTCTTTCTACTGCTATCAAAAGAGTGCAGAGAGTTTCTCTATTCGACATTCTGACATCCCAGGGTCAATCTGTTTGCTACAATCGACTTATCGGCGCAAGATCCACTTCCAGAAGACCATGATGCATACAAAAAACAATCCGATAAGCAACATACCCTTGATAAGTATCATAGGCGAGACGTGCATGATCGGCAGCAACCGCACCTTCTACTGGTATACCAACAAGGGAATTCATTTCGGGAACCGCAGCAGCACTTGGATATGAGAGTGAGAGCAGATTCAGCGAAGCCGCATCACTTACAGCAACCGATAACAGATCCGATTCACCCACTTTCACTGAACTTATCCCTGAAAAACCGCCATGCCGAACAGGTAAACAAGATGCGAATAACAAAGGAAGAAGATAGTAAGAGCAATGAGAAGCCCCTTCTGAGAAAAAGAGGACAAAATATGTGAAATGTCCATGGCAAATCACCCTGTGATGAGGTCTGTACTAAAAATGCCTCCAAACCATCCTCCCTCTCTTTAACTGATGGAGAATGTTGAGGAGTTATTACTGGATATTAAAATATAACTAAAAATCAATGTTTTTAAGCACGAGGGCTGCGTTTTAAGCGATGTCTGCAAATTCAAAAATGCAATGGGAAAATTTCTCCTAAAAGTTATATCTCCGTGTACAGCCACAATCTGCAGCGCTACGCCAGGCCCACCAAACCAAAAGCGTCCCTAACAGGCTTCAAATTACACCCACCCCTCGGATTTCTCAAAAAAGTAAACGCACAGAAAAATGTTTGGTACCATGATCTTAATTACCTATTCATGACTATACAAAAGTCCACGCAGTTTGTCTGTCAAAAAATATATTCACTTAATAGAGTGCAGCATACGATCACACTATCTCACACACCTTCACCAGTTAATTATTGAATACATAACTCTCTAAGTTGAAGCCCACATACGGCGCCTGCAAAATTACGGGGAGGCAAG